GGGCAGGGGGCCATGCCCGGCCTTCGGTGTAGAGCCTTCTCCTGGCGCAGTGGTGCCCACGGCCAGAGCAGCACAACCTGAATCCACGCCTCCTTCCATGTCTTTCGGGACTCGGCTGAGGGTGGGTGTCACCCCCAAAGCCTGCTGTACATGTGGAAGTGGTAAGAGCAGTCAGCTGGCTGGGACAGGAGAGGAGGGAGGATGTTTCATGGAGAAAGTCGAGGGGCTCCGTCTCTCACCCTGCCGGGCCCTGTGCTGGTCAGAGCTTCCCCTCGGAGCAACCGGCCTCATCAGCAAGGCAAGCAGCAGATCCAGCCTGCAGGTGAGTCAAAGAACCAGGGCCTGCCTAGCAGGATTTGCAGAGACCTTGCAAAGGGCACTGGAACTGCTGAATAATGGAAATACTAGCATGGGGAAACATTTTGTTTTCTGAAATGGGGCTAGAGGATTTATTGGCAGCAAAATAGTGCCCAAAGCTGCAGTGTCCAGGTAGCTTTCCAGGCCAGCGTGATGTTTGCTGAACCCAGGGCTGCGGGCACCAGCAGGTAAAGGGACTCTTTGGTTAAAGAAAATAAGCCTGCCATAACTTTCTGAAGAAGCGGTATCTCCTAGCTTAAGTCCTGCTTTGCTGTTACCTTAATATGGCACAGGGCTGCAAGATTAGCAGCACTGAAAGGATGTGAGGATAACTACTGGTTTTTTAAGAGAATTTTAAACAGTTAGAAAAAAGCCCTGTCTTCCCTCCTTTCTGTCAGGGCCCTTTGAAACCTTTTCAAACCATTCCAGCTCCCTAGATTAATCCAGGAGCCAGAATTCATCTTTAGGAAAAATATCCCTTTCAGGTCACTACAGCGCTATTTCAATCAGAAGCAGCAGTGATGTCCCATTTTAAGTTAACTGCAGGTAGTAAAGGTCGCTCTGCCCTCCAGCAGCCAGACATTGGAGTAACATGAACACGTGCTTCAAAAACTGGAGTCGTTGCAAAGTCTGAGACACTCTTGTCCCGTTCTGGCAAGTTTTGGGCTCTTGGAAAGTGTCTTCTGGGGTGCCTGCATCTCCATCCCACAGCCTAAGCAGGGACTGCTCAAGGGGCACAGAAGCAAGCAGGACAGAAGCGCTTTTCTCCTCAGCCTGCAGCACCGCATCCAAGTGTGGATTGGAAAAAAAATGGAAAAAAAAAGAAAAGCAAACTGGAATAATGCAGGAGAAATTCTACTGTAGCAATAGCATCGCAAGACACTTTCAGAAGAACAGTATTGTTATTAGCTACAAGAAGCAGCCAGCCTAGAACAGACCACGTTGCTCACACAGCATTTGTTCAAGGGAAAGGAATTTCTTATTTACTTACTGAAGCTACTGGCTGCAGGAACAGGCACTTGAAGTCTCTTGCACTACCCACGGAAGCAGCTTGGATCATGGGTTTCTGCCGGCTGATCTCAGCCCTGTCTGGCAGCGGCAGGTTTGAATCTCAGCTCAGGAGCCACTGCCAGCGCCACCGGCCCTGCTCATCCCCTCAGCCCCTTCCAACCAGCCCTGTCACGCTTGCTTCGTCAGGGGCACATGTGCCCCACTGCCTTCGGCTTCCCACTGAAGAGCCCACACGTAATTCACACCAGAAATTAGGGGTTAGAAAATTTTATTTGCTTTTTTGGTAACAGGAACTGCTCATTTACCAGGAAGGATGATGCCATCATACTGTGAGAAAGGGGAAAAAAAAAAAAGAAAAAAAAAAGAACAGAAGAGAACCAAGTGAGAAACTACCATCATGTAAAGGTGCAGCACTGCTGGGCAGAAAAGTGAGTCACCACATTCATTGCACTACACGGAACAGCAGTTCTCCTGCAGCTAACTGCATTTCTAACTGCATTTCTACCTTGCTGCTGTGCTGCTAACTTCCAAGAGGGGCTTTACTCAGATTATTCAACGGCTCATTAGGCCAAGGAAACGAGCCCCACCCCTCCCAGGCTCATCTGACCCTACATTCATCCCTTAAACAGTCCCAGGATTTGGCCCTGAAGGTAACTGTGCCCCAGTAAGTAAAACCAAGCAGAAGGGGGAGAAAAAAAAGCCATTCAGGAGTCAGCTGGAGCCCGCCCTGTGCCGGACGTCACCTGTGGAGCAGCCTCCAGACAGACTGCCCACCCTGCCCACCTCTGAAAAAGTATCAGCAGTCCCCACCTCTGAACGTTTCCAATCAAGCTTTTGGCATCCAGTCTGTGTCAGAGAGCGCCAGGGACACATAAGCCCAGGAGCTTGTTTTATTTGGATTGCTCCATCCTCCAAGTCTGACAGCTCAGCTAGGAGCTGTCTTGTGATCCACATACAGACAGCACCTCCCAAAACTGCAGCAGACAGATTCACACAGGAACTGACACTTCCAGCTGTCCTGCAGAGCTGCCCTTTCAGTTCAGCACAGAATCAAAAGGGGTGTGAAGAGCGCTCCTGCTCCAACTCCCTGCTCCAGGGCAGCACAAGCTCAAAGTCAAGGATTTAAGCAGTGATCAAGATTTCACCCTGCCCAGTGACTTGTTCCAGCCCTTCTGCATTGAAGCATTTTGCTGATACTTGCTAGGAAACTCCTGGGATACAAAAATAAAGATGGAATTTACCTTTTGCTGAAACCAGCGCATGGCTTCCTCCTTTCCAATTCTGTGCTTGGCTCCAATGTTGCCAGTCCTGCGCTTCTTGTCAGCAATGCTGAACCCAGGCCTGCCCAGCACCTGCCAGGAGAGGACACCAAGAGCACAGTTTCATTCTGGCCTATTTCATTCCGGCATTTACTTTCTTACGCTTAACAGTTTTCCAGGAGAGAAGGCTAGAATTTCCACATCTCACTGTCCGAGTCAGGTTCAAGACTTCCAGAGAACATTATCTTTTACAGCCTCAGTGCAAGCTGACAACTAAGTAATTTCTGAGCCGCCAGGTACCATGATGGGGACAGTTGCTAGCTTGGACAAGTTAGCACATACCCTGACTCACAGAAACCAAAATGAGCATGGAAGACAAACTATTCCATACCCAGAGGCCTCAGCTCTTGAGAAGAAGATTCACTGAGCAGCACGGCTAACACGTATGGAACAGCTTCCCTCTATTGCAGAGCTTGAGCGTGCAGCACAGCAGAACGGAACCACTCTCCCCCGCCACCACCGCGGCTACGTGACCCAGCCCTCTAAACACAGGACGAATCTCCCAGCCCACCTTTCAGTCTGCACCCCTGACGCTCCCGCTGCTCATTCCCTCCCTCCTTCCCTCCCCAACCCTGGCAGAGCTGTTTCAGTGTTATCCCCGGAGTACCAGCGAGAGCCACGGTATTTGTTTGTGAAGAGACTTTGTGAGCCATTTCATAAATCACGGTTTTTTACAGCAGCCCTGGGAATCTCAGATTAGACTTGGATTTTGTTGACAATTTTCCATCTTCCAGCACCAGGCAGCAAGTTAATATCAGCCAGCTATCGTTCCAGGTTCCTTCCAGAGCTTTCACACAAGCCCAGGAGCCGCAAGGAAGCGGAGAATACGCACCACGTAGAAGTCCAAGCCGTAGATACCAATACTGGGATCGTATTTAATCCCCAGATCGATGTGTTCCTGGATTCCAAAGCCAAAGTTCCCCGTGTCTGAGAAGTTGTTTTTCCTCAACTCGTATTCTCGCACCTGAAACATTTGTAGTCAGGGTCACTATTTTGTTATTGACTGCAGAGTTAAGAATTCCTGGGTATTCCAACTACTGCCACACCCACAATTCTCTTACGTGCTACTAAGTCTTTAACCCTAGGGTTTTGCTCCCTCAGCCTGCTCCTAAATCACAGCAGTAAAGAACTTTGGGAGAAAGCAGAACCTGCCGCCACACGCTCTTAAATAAGCACAAAGCAGCAAGCAGACAGACCAAGAGCAGCCAGTGTATTGAAGCAGCTCCTCCAACCCATAACCAACCCGTAACACCCACGACCGGCCCGTAACTGGCCCAGTGCAGCAGTTCAGAGCACGCACTTGTGCAGTTAGTACAGATCAAACTCCTGTTCTTTCACAAAACAAAGACCCAAACCAGCCAAATTCTCACCTTCAACCCCTTCTCCAGAATCTCCTCTGCTTTGGCCCCGCGAACCGTGCAATGAACAGCAATCTTCTCATTTCTCCTGATTCCAAAGGATCTTACAGTGTATCGTGCTGCAGGCAGCAATAATCACACTTAGAGGCTATTCAAAGAATTCCCACCCAAGGGATTCAGAACTTAAGACTAAAGAAAATAGTTTAAAGAAGAAAAAAAACAAAACCATAAGGCAACCACAAGTTCCCTTCTTGGAGATGAGCGCAGAGCAGCAGCCCCAGTCTGGAGGCAGAACCAAACTGACAGGAACGACCACCAGCACCCAAATATTGAAGGTTCTTAATTCGCACCAAGACCCACAGCAAAGCAAACCTCCCCAGGCTGGCTCTGCCAGGGAGCCGCGCTGCCCGCCACCCTCTGCATCCTCGGGAGAGGAAGCAAAACAAA